CAGATGAATGTTACAAGAGATGCTCGAAGTTTGCACCATCAGATGCCAAACATGCCTGACACCAACTGACCATTTATTGCCGGACATGTTCAAACATACCGGAAGTTTCTTTGATTGTAGTAGCTGCACAGGCGAGTCTTGCCACGAGATCCATTTCAGACAGAACAGGATCGGGATACACTACACTTTTGATAGCTTCCCACAAAAAGAAATCAAGGCTCGATAAATCTGGTGAGCATGGGGGCCAGGGAACAATCCATCGATGTGGGAAGGATCTGTTCAAATGGCTGTGAACATCCATTCCAAATGAGCAGGGGCCCCCGTCATTATCTAATCATATGTTGCACCTCACATTTGGTAGAGCATCGTCAAGCAAATCGGGAAGAACGTACTCCAGAATGATAAAATAATTTGCGGCATTCAAATGGTCCATCAGTATCAGGCATGTTTGGCATCTGATGGTGCAAACTTTGAGCATCTATTGTAACATTCAAGCTGTTGTATACCGTTTGTATTCATGTGCAATAAATGTTTCAAATAATCCTCTTGCTTCTTTTCCTATCTTCTACTTCTGCTACTACTTACCCCTGACATTTCCCGTTATAGGTTCCTATGCAATTCTTAAACCTTATGATGTGCCCTACCTCTCTTATGCCATTATCACATTAGCTGTTTGTTGCCGGGACAAAACGTTTGTAGCAACAGTTCTGAGAAATAGGGTTACCATCTTCACTTGGCAAACAGGCTGAAAGCCAAACAAGAATCAGTTATCGCTCAGATTGGCGAAAGTGACGTTTCCTTTCAAGTGACATTCGCTTCTTCGTGTTGTTTCGTATCGCTCACACGCTTTTTCGTTTTAAACTTTATTGTTAGTAATGGAAGATAATAGAAATGTGATTGCTATCAAGTTAATCACTTTGATCTCCACTCTGGCACTTCATGTAACAGATAAACACACTTCTGGTTATAGCAATCAATTACATCAGTAATAACCAAATTCTGTATACACTAAGAATAGTTTAAAAACATGTGCTGGGTAAGTCTATTTATCACACATCGCTTGTGTGTATTTTCTGTTGTCTGCATTTCAATGAAAATTTGATGGCTGGAAAATTTGCGACCTGAAAGCATTTTCTGACTAACTTTATGGCTCATAATTACTGTTCTGTCCATTCAAATGACAAAAATCTATATGGCTGATATTTACCTCCTCACAGCCAGCAGATACTATTCAGCAAAATGAAGATCAAATAAAGCATATGAATACATGAGCAATCAAAACATGTGCTAGTTGTTTACTGTCCCATAGAACACTCGGTAATATACCTAAAACACATTAATTATACCAACTCTAGAAATTAGGTGTTCACATCATGAGTTTGTTTTATGGTTTGGTTTATTGAGATTACAGCAAAGCACACTAGGGCTATCTGCCTAAGGGAAGGGATGCCTTCGGGGAGGACTTTCTAAGGGAAACTGGCTCGTAGTACACGTTACACATGGGGAAAACCACGAAAAGCGTCCATGCAGCCAGCCCGTTCGCGGGATTCGAATCTCGGACCAAACCACCAGTGTTCAGCGACTTTTACCGCTCGGCCGCTGGTGGGCTCAGTTGGTTTATGTGATTACCGCAAGCCTCGAGGGATAACAACAGGAGGGATCCCTTTGTAGAAGATTTTTTAAAACTGGCTCGTATACCAGTTACAAATGGGGCAGACCAAGGAAACATCATGTAGCCAGCCCGTTCGCGGTATTCTAACCTGAGACAGAACTACCAGTGTTCAACGACGCTTCGGCCACTAGTAGGCCCGTGCACTTAATTGGAAAGTGCAATTCATTATGTAAACAGACATGAAGATGATAATCAGTTGTGCGCTGTTTTAAGTAATCAAATGTTATAAATGCATAGCTGTTACATTTCTTATTATTTATTAGTCATGTGTTTTTATTACGTAGATCATACGTATGATATAATTATGAATTAACCCATAACAAAATGTGTACATCTTTAGTACTCAAATACTCATCAATTATTTTTCAACTGATTATTACATACCCATAATAATTTGCAAAGAAGATAACTATAGTTCTGCCAATTACATAATCATTATCTGAATTAAAAGTAACTTCAAATAAACTTCCTTGGCAATGTTCATTTTTGTATTTCATACATACATATATATCTACACATCTAATAATTCATATATATATATACAGATAGAGAGATGCGATGGTTTAGAAGTTGTTAATATATATTCTAATTAAGATGTAATGAATAAGATTTATATTAATGAATGTATTATACAATGTTTTTTTCATCATGCATAATAATAAATCCATAAATTTTCAATGTTTCACTATGTAGCATTTACAATAAAAGTATAGTTTTCTAATGTATTTATAATTCAAAAAGTATTTCATTAATTACATGAAAATAATAGACAAATTTAATGAGTATTCTCATTATTACATAAGCTATGCTTTTCTTTTTTTGCATCTTTATGCTGTTAAAATGTGTCACTGATTATGCAGTTAACAATTTAAAAGATAAGTAATTAGGAGAAAAGCCGCACATATACAACGGATTTTAAAAAATTATTCAACTTAAATTTAAGAAATAAAATTCTATTATATAACAGTGCTATAATACACGATCAGCACGAAATACGACAAATTTGGCGAACTTTTGGCTACGAACAATTTGTAAACAAATCCGAAATGCAAGAATGTCGTAAAATACTGTCAACTCTGAAATTTCCACGATTATATATTTAATGAATATATACACATTTAAAAAATGACTCGAACAGTTGTATTACAACAAAACAGCAATAATTAAATCAGCCTCTATTTCCACCGTCCATCACTTCACAGTGAGAGCCATCGCCATATTGAAAGTTACCCGTGATCTTTTAGAAGCTGACCTTTCGTCTGATTGGTTGAACGTTCGAGGAACACGTCTCCAACCGGAACATTTTGGGAAAAGTTTTAAAATGTTGCTCGTAGCCGGGACACGTTCCTCCTAGCTAGACGAAACATTTCTCGGAAGTCTGCCGCTTAAAGCCGTGCTACTAGAATCTCGTTTCTCGGAATAGTCCCAGGTAAGCGCGTGCGTCTATAGTTGTGATAACAGCCTTAGAAGTTTGTGGCAACATTTACGGTACACCCTGTATAATGTAAAATGAATATAAAAATATCAATAATTTTAGAAATTGAATAATTGTTATAAAATTGATTATGAGTAATGTATTTAAAAAATAAAATTTATATAGATAAGTAGATGAAATTATGGTAATGTTAAAATTTATGGATAATTGTATATTAAGTAGGAGTATGTTGAGGGAGTGCTATTTCAGAAACAGAGGCTGTTATACTTTTGTACAATTTTCTTAGTGCAGTTCACAAAGGCCAGTTTCCTTATGCAAGGAACACTTTTCAAATTACTGCTATATTTATGACGCTAAAATATATATTATCAATATGAAAATTAGTGTCATAAATTGTTACATGTAAAAGTTTTTGTTTGTGATACTCAGAGAAAACAAAAACCTTCACTGAAGAATTTTAATTACGTAGAGTCAAAAACAGAAAGACTTTTGAAGTACTGAAAAATTTCATAGGATTCTAAAAATTTTATTAATTTTACAAAATCATGTATTCAAAAATTATATTTTACAATTATGCAATTAATTATTGATTATATTGTTCAGAGTTTTATTTACATTTCTCTTCATTTACTACTGAAAAGAAAAAAAAAATGTTAAATCATTTCTTCTTTTCTCTGTCACTAAGCCATTTATGTGTTTATTTCCCCTCTGTATTCTTCGTCTTCTTGACAGCTCTGGGTGGGCCCTTGCCTTCTCCAGGTATCTCTACTTTTTGCAACTTTTTTCCAGTTTTTAACCTTTAAAATATTAAGATCTTTTTTGACACAATCAATCCATCTTAGTGGGGGTCTGCCCCAAATTTTATTTCCCATGGCCCTAGCTAGATGGCCAGCCAATTTAAGTCTCTGTAATTTGACGAATTTTACAATATCAGGCTCTTTGTAAATTTTATAGAGTTCTAAATTAGATTCTTTTCCATGAAGTCAATTTCAAACTGCTTTTTAATCTGTAATTAAGACAAATTAATCAGCAGTTTTTTTTTCTTCTAAATTTCTTCATATTCTTTATATATATATATATATATATAGTCTAAATGGGCAATTTGCTCTGAAGGACTATTATTTTTATTTTGGCATTTTGCGTTGGTTCACTATAAATGTCCGTTTCACTTTTCAAATTGTTGCCACCAAATCCTATCACCCTGTATTATATTTAAAGAAATTAAATAATGAAGAATCTGCATAAATGTAAGTATGTTTCTCGTATTGTGATAAAACAATGGTACCTAGAGCCATCCAATTGTGAATAACGTATGTTTCCACCCGAATATGGGCATCTGGAAGCCCAAATTTGGAATTTGTTTATTATCTCTTTCATATTTTGTAAGACTTTAACGAATTGATTAACAAACTCAAAGATTTAAAAGCGAGCAATGGCAACACTCTAGGGGGGGGCCTTTTCATCTCCGGTGCACGAAACTGTGTATCGAAAATTCTAAAGATATGTTCATTTTAAAATTATTTTGCAATATTGCTGTTGAACTGAATTTTATGTTTTAAGTGCAAAGAACATGATATTTAATAAATAAAGGTAACACACAACATGTTAAAAGAATGCCTCTTTGGACATAATTTAAAATCTGAAAACTCTCAGGTTTTTTTTATTTTTATTTATTTATTTATTTTTTAAGGTTTATTATGTAGCTTAGTTTATGTCTTTATTTTTATAATTTTACAGTTCTGAGTTAAGAGAAGCAATGGGTTTAAAGAATAATCAGTTGCCACGATATATATACCATATGAGAATCATTGGCTATCCTCCTGGGTGGATGAAAGAGGCAGTACTTGAAACATCAGGATTATCTTTATATGATTCTGATGGTAAAAGTAAGGTTCAGTACATTATTACCTTTTCATGTGTCATATTTTGCAATCATAGTACACTGATATACATTTAAAGTAATTTTTTTGAATTTTTGTTTGTGATTAAAATAGCTTTTATATGTTTAATTGCTAAAAGCCAAATTAAAAATAAATTCATATTAATTTTGTAATGATAGGATTCTTATGTTCAAAATAAGAAATGTGTAATACTTTTAAAATTTATTATTATGATAATGAGTCAGGTGAACATTAAAGATCGAGAATATTTTGACTATTCTGATGTACATATATATAAAATTCAGAGAAAATCAGATGTTACCTTTTAGTGGTTTATATATATATATATATATAATGTTGGAAATGCATCAATTCATTTTTCAGTAGATTTGGATAAATTGTGCCAAAACCCCAGCTGCATTTGTCTGCAAGTTGTTAAAAATGGACAAATTGGATAGCATTGCAACAGATACATTGGGTATCTATATCATCCTTGTCTACAACGAAGAAACAAATACTAAAATTCAGTATTTCGGTTTAACATCTAAAAAATTATCAGTAAGAATTGCCAAGTGTAAGAAATATACTTGTAAACTCTCAATTGATCAATATGCACTCATGTACAAAATCAACAGAATCTGCACATTATTCTGAATAACTAATTTACAGATTTTAATGAAGTTTGGTATGAATATATATTTATAACAGAGAAAGAAGTGTACCATTCAAAAATCATTTTATTTGTGCATGATTTGATGTAAAGCTCATGGTACAAAGATGTTAAAAATCCATGTTGTGACATTGAACTGAAAATCAGTTTAATAAATTAGTTAATAGTTCTGTCTCACAGCCAGAGAGGTTGAGCGACGTGACAGCATACTGGACAAGAAGCAGAAGAAGAGTGTCTGGGGCAGTTAATCCCATTTTTACAGCAAGATATTTTTCCACTTCGGGATGGTCCTCATAGGCAGATGGCAAAATGAAAATACCCTTCCAAGAGCAGCCCAGACATGCTCTATAGGGTTAAGGCCAGGTAATCTGGCTGATCAACCTATGTGGTGAATATCCCCACTTTCCAGGTAATTGTCAAACAGTTTATGCGGACGAACATTGTTCATTAACAAGAACTCATGACCAGTTGAGTGTAGATCCAGCATAATGCCTGCCCAAACCATTGCACCTCGAACGTTGTATGATCTTTTTCTGTGATGAGAGAAGATGGTATCATGTTCCAGATTCTCTCCAGAAATAGATACACTTAGAATGATCGTCCAGGCTGAATCTCAGTTCATCTAAAATAAAGCATGGTGCTCCTCTGAAGTCAGTTCAAAGGCTTATGTTGTCTGCACCATGCTAAATGTTGTGTGCTGCAGTGAGTAGTGAGACACAAACAGTGGCTCTTCTAGCATACATCCTTATCTTATAAAACTTTTGAGCAACTGTAGACCATGATACTCAGGTTTCAGTGGCAGCATGGAGCTCAGTGAGAGCTGCGAAATTATAGCAGTTCTGTATTACCGAGCTGAAAGTGCCAAATAAGGATTCTCGTTGGTCATTGTGAATCTTGTTCAACCTAGTTCAAGTTTGCTTGGATCCATTGTCCTGAAAATATTTCCATAAATTGCAGACATCACTGGGCACTACTTTGAGCTCTGTACCCACCTGACTTGTGATTGGCCTGTCTGTCTACCGACAATTCTCCATCTCATTTAGTCATCCATACTCATTTTACCTGATATGTTGTAAGATTTACATGAAGAAGTACAAGCACACAAATCACCAAAAAACCCTCATATGCTGAATATCCCCTTTATAATGGACACTTAACTATTTGACTAAATATTTGTATAATTTTTTGGTGGCATATGTAGTATCTTTGGTTCAACACATTTTGTAAAAATAAATGTTATATGCAAATTATCCTAATTTTGCACATGAGTGTATTAATATATAGAGAGAGTGCCTTTGTTACAATTTCTTAGAATATCCACATTCTGTAATTAAATGAGGGAAAATAAAAACAGCACATAAACTGGCCATGAAATTAGAGAAGGTATCAAAATCACCACAAGATCTTGTTGCTGCCTCTTAATCTTCTCTATATCTGAACATTCATCTTCATTTGTGTAGCAACTATATATGAAGCAGCAATAGTCGATGACTGATGAAGTAAATGGGCCACCTGTAAAATCCTTGACTTTGGCTGTTTAATGTGGTTTATTACTATTATACTTCCCCCCCCCCAATTTGACCAAACCAAACCAAAAATTCAATAACAAAAGAAACTATGTATTGAATTTTTGTCTAAATTTCGAGAAAATGATTTTTTTTTTTAATGCTTACTATGGATGAGTTTCCCTCCTTCATTTTATTTTTCAACATAAATAAATAAAGCTGTTGTGTAAATGTCAGTTTGTCATTATTTCCTGTGAGGATATCTTAAACATAAAGTTTTGCAAGGCCTCCACAAGTAATTGCAGAACTGAAAAATTAAATCTGTTTAGAAATCATGAACATTCTGACTTAAAAATTAGAGTGCACTATGAGAACTTTTGTCGCAATTTGTGAGAGTGCAAACCTCACTCAGTGTATAAAAAATTAAAAGTAGGCTATTTCATGTATTTTTTTCTGTATATTTCTTTTTTGATTTTTCTTCAAACATGTGATATAAAATGGAAATTAAGAATAATTATTTATTTATTTTAAAGCTTCATTTGAAGAGGAAACCAGTTTAGTAAGTGGAAGTAAGTAGATAAATATTTCTTTCTTTGTATTTTAGTCTGTAGAATTCTATTTTGTTGAACATTTTAAGGCAGTGCATTTGTTACTATCATATTCTTACCCATTATATAGTGTATATATAATGCATTACAACATATCTTTTCAGTTCAGTATGATGCATCAAAGTTTGTTAATTATCCAGGATTTAATAGCCCTGTACCAGATAACTATACAGATGTGAGTATTTTAAATTTATTCTATTGTTTATAGTTTTCAAGATTACATTTTTTAAGTGAAATATTTCCAATTTATTTCTTGTTCGAAAGTGATTAACTTGTAAACTTTTAAAAAGTTAAAAAAAAAAAAAAGTTGGAAGAAAATTAAGTTATAAAGGGTGAGGCAACTTCCTTATATTATAAATGTATAATAAATAAAGTTCTGCTATTTGCTTTTAAATAGCATAGTAACATTTCTAAATATTTAAAAGATTGTGGATAATTTATGAACACTTCTAATTGTTAGAAGAGATCTGTTAGTTATTCTGCCATTAAAAGCCAGAAATCAAACACATTGTTTAATTGAAAAGTATTGATTGTTCACATCTTCTACAGTCATTAAAAGGGTGCTGAATGAATTTAAATGTAATCATAACTATATTTGCTACTATATATATTTACTACATAACTGTATTAGCTTCCAATAATACTGTGCTGATATAAAAATTTTTAATGTCAGATTTGACATTTCTTTTTATCTGCTGATGATTTTTTAAAATAATTCACTAACGCACCCATCAATAATAGCTGCAAGATTAATACATGACTCACATTAAAATTATTCACATTTGATGTCCTGAAGTGTGTCAAAATTTGGTAATGATTTGCATTTGTTATTATTTTATAGTTAGAATATGTAATAAATAATATCTAAGTAAAAAAATAACTTACTGTTATCATAGTTTTAAAGCCATATCAATATGCATCCTAAAAGAGAGACATTAGCCTTAAGATTGAGAATATAAATAGGAAATATGCTGGTTCTGGGCAAAATTAGAATAACTATCTGATCAGAAAACAGATAATAAAAATATTTGAATTGGAGTTACCTCCTCTCCTCAGAATCAGATTTAGGTTTGAGTGGAAAATACTGTTGTAATGTGATATAGTATGTACAATTTTATGAGTTGTCTGTTTATATGCTAGTTGTAGCAGCATTCTGGGTTTATATTCTTAGATTTTTTGAAAAATTTGGATAGTAAGCTTTTTTTAGCACATTAGGGATGTTAATTCAAGTATTGTTGTTGTTGTTGTTGCCATGTCCACATTACGTGGAACAATGGTTGCCAGAGCGTACTCTGAAGAGAGGTTGGACTTCGATTTTCCACCCCCAATTTTGAGGGAGAACCCCCTGGGAGGATTTGGGGGTCTCCCACCCCTCAACTATTGGCCAATGAAAGTAAATTAGATTTTTTAAATGTTAGAAATTGTTAAATTAAAGCAGGAATTAAGGAGAGATTTTGATGGATTCGTTACATACTTTTCATTAATGGACAATTCCTGAATCCTCAGACCTTCAATGTAGGGGACTAGTTCAGTACCATTTTAGCATTTATTTCAGGATAATTGATAAAAACCGTGGTTCCATGAGTGTCTGCTGACTATATGTTGTATTGTGAAGCTTAAGTGTTAAAATATATATTAGCACAAAAGAAGGGAGGATAAGTGTTTCCTGCCATTTTTTTTTAAGATTTGTTTTCCGCCATGTAAGTTTTAAGATTATAGAAATATTACCCTAAGGGGAGGGGGATGAAATCTTGTTTGCAGAAAGGGAATTTTTTTAATTCTTTTAGTTTATTTATTTAGTTATGTAATAAGATTTGTTTTATACTAAAATCATTTGATCTGTTCTTTCCATGAAATAAAAATTGATACACCTGAATCATTAAATTCTGAGATGGCAGCAAGATTGAGGTGATGATATAATTGTTGCATCTAAAATAACAGAACTGTGCCAAAACATTAATTTTTCAGTGGTTAATAATGTGAAAGGTAAATTGTCATCTCTCTTGAAGTCTCAATAAAAGGCTGATCGTCTATTCATAAATTCTACATTGCTCCATGCAAAACATTACACCATGAAAGATGGGTTCATTTGACTTGAAATTTGCACCATTCCACCAAGCATAGACTCAAGAAAGATATGCTAATAATTAGTGTTGCCATGTACATTTCTCATGTGTAGTAGTAATGACTTGTAGAAGCACTATGAAACGATGTTAGGTTATTTAAATACGGCAGAACACATGAGATCTTTCTGGTTAGTAGGAGGGGGATGCCTTCACAAAAAGAGAAACTTCCTGTTTTAAGTGCAGAATAGTGTGCTTTTCCATTATTCCTTTATGTTTGAAACTTGAGTCTTAAACCCACTCCCAAAGGAAAAAAAAAAGTTAGGTGCTGAAGAGGAAGATTTGGCACTTGCAGGGGGAGGAAAAATTGGGGCTGGAATATGAATATCCTTCTAAACAGTCAGTGTTTATGTTGGATGAAATCAAACCACAGTTGTTTAAGTATGGAGTCCATGGGTACAGTAGGGACCGACCGGCCAGTAAAGAACAAATACAACATCCACATGCTGCCGAGCAACAGGAGAGTCATGTTTTGTGTTTAGCAGTGACAGATCGCACAATGTCATCAATAGTCTTAGACAAATCTCTTTCTTGCCTACAATACTGTAATAGTCATACTGGAGTTTGTTGGTACTGTGGTGACAGATATCACGACACTAAATATCATAGCCATACCATTCCATCCCTGGATTATGATTTGAGGTCCAGTTAATTTTACTCCCACGCCTGCCTAAAATGCATTGCTGGTATACTCGATAACCATTGCTATATCTCTGAAGTTTTGAAGTTTGTTGTCTTTCCCCCCCCTTCGAGAAGAAGTCTTTGATACTGAGCTGTTGAGCTAGACATAATTTGTGTTATTTTGTTTGAATTTATGGCGACTCAGAAAGTATAATATTCGTAACCAGTCTGTGTATTGTAAGATTATATTAAAGTGTGATAGGTGTATAATGCATAGAGGTAGTCTTAATCAGGTTGTTACAGTCATGTCTTTTAGAAGAGGTGGAAAGTAATCTGAATAGACTTAGCAGTCTTGCTCTGAGCTTCTGGATTTTTGGCGGTATTGATTGTCCAAGCTTTCATGTTACTGTGGCTGTCCTCTTCCCTTTACATATGTTTGTTAATTAGTTCAGAATCAGATAGGTTGTTCAGATCCCCGAAAGCACCAAATGGAAGTAGGTCATTTTCTTCGAAAACAGATAATTATCAAAGACCCTGAGCCTTATAAAATATTCTGTAAGAGCAGTGTGTTTTCTTATGAGTGTTAGTCTGACTTCAGCAAAGAAAGTGTTCTGCTTGTAGAGTCGAACTCCCAGTGTTTTTATTCCTTCTGTTGTAAGTACTGAGCTATAATTCAGGCCAAGAGGAGGATTTTCATTCTTGGAGCATTAGGATGAAAGGCAGCAAGTTTAGCTAACTTGTCCATCTTCTGGTTAATTTCATTAAACTTGTATGGGATAAAAAATCGAAACTGGTGTTGAGGAGACCCACATATTAAGTCTAACTGACTGGCGTTAAGGAGAGAAACTGTGGGCTTGTACTCTAAACGGAAATAATTTTGATTTGCTGTACACTCTCAAAAGCGAAAACAAATCCTATCATTCAGAACTAAAAATGTCTACCAGACATAAATAAATTCTAAATAAAAGCATATTTTCCAAATAAAAATTTCTTTCACTCATTCAAGACATAGAACAATCCAGGAGGAGAGTGAGACAAACTGTGAAAAAAAAAATTACTGCTGTGTCTGATACAGTTTATTAAATAAATTAAAATCTTTAGAAGTTGTCATTCTCAAAATTATAAAAATGTGTTTAAAAATCTTTCACTGGGCACTTTTATTAAACAGTTAAAAACTAAAGATGGTTTCTTGTAAGTTCAGTTTATCCAGTGTTGACCTCTCTGAATGAGTTTATGAAATATTGATCAGTTTCACTACAATTGGATTTTCTTAGTATCGATGCACTGTAACCGGTTCTATGTTACTTTTACAGCCATCTAGAAAAAATTTTGTCCTTGCTGTCAGGCAGCGCTGACTTATCCACAGTTTCATAAAGTTGATTAAAGACAGGACTATTGCTTTGCACTCATAGTTAGCTGGGATAGAGGTCTTGGCTTAGAGTGTCATGATGCATTCCAATCTTGTTATTGACTTCCTGTGGATGAACAGATGTAGTGGTGCAATACCAGCTAGAACGTGAAGAGCTCCAGTAACCTCTGCAGATCCAGAGTATAAATGGAAATTGGGTAAAGAGAAAGAGGTTTCTCACTTGGATCACTGTAGTATGTGCAAGTGTGAGCATCACTGATTGCTATTCTCTCATTGAGGGCCCTGTATCGTACTTGTGGAGGTGTTTTGTGTTTATGAGAAGGCTCTGAGCACAGAATTCTGGAAAATGGTGAGCACCTCTTTCATATGAGGTGTCCAGGATAAAAGCTACTTAATTTGGTTTATCGTAACAAAAGAATTGAAAAGCTGTAAGCAGAGTGGCTGTTAGACCATGACAGATGAGCACACTCAGTGGTGAGCTGTAGGGGGCTAGTAGGAATTTGCTTGAGGGACTTTTTAAATTTGTCTCAAATTTTCACTTTCCTTGTTCTTTTTGTTTGTTAGTTTATTTAGTCTGGAGAAACCTGTGTCACAATCATACTTCTTTGTGATATATGTTAGACTCTTCTTCAAAATTAGGGTCTCATCCACTTTTGCTTAAGTTTGGTCAGATGTGTTGTACACAAGCTAAAACTTAAACAGATGCTGGAAAATGTAGTTTGTTTTTAACAAATTTATCGTTGGGTATCAAATTACTTAACATCAAGATAATAGGATGAAATTCTGTTGTTTGATACTTCGTTGAAAGATGAAATATGAAAGATTTTCCACTGAGCAATCTTTTTCTTATTTAATGGTAATCACCTTAAATGGGAAAACATTAAGAGGATTTAATTCTAAATTTTATTTTAAATTATTTTTTAAAAATCATCACTTTGTTTTGAAACCTTTTTAGACATGGAAGAAGGAAGTAAAGACAGCAGGCTTTTGACACAAATTGACCATGTAATTGTTATTTTATGTAACTTGTAAATTCCAAGCTTCTTTTAATTATAAAAATTT